TTTCTCTCTCCCTCATTCCCTCTCTATTTCTCCCTCCTCTCTTTCTCTTTCTCCCTCCTCTCTTTCTCTCCATCTCTCACCCTCCCTCTTTTTATTTCTCTCTCCCTCGTTCCCTCACACTTTCTTCCTCTCCCCCCTCTCCCTCTCTTTCTCTCTCTCCCTCTCTATTTCTCCCTTTCTCTTTCTATCTCCCTCCCTCCCTCCCTCCCTCTATCTTTCATCATTATTAGCAGTCATGCAGGAGTAATTTTTCCAATGTTCTCTTTTAGGAACCTACTCCGGTTTACAGGATGGATTACCTTGTAGTCTCCCATCCCTGCCTCCTTTAAAAAAAATAAAAAATCTGCCTTAAGCATTCTTCCACCCAATCCAAGGGCTCCAATCCTTGGAGAGTGCAGGAATACTTCCTGCCTCTGAAAAAAAACCTCTCCTTGTTGTGTTTGGTCCTGATTCCCCCTCTCCTCTCTCCCTCGGTGGCTGGAGTTGCAGGAGGCCAGGGCACTTCTCCCCCACACCATAATGGCCCCAAACTTTCATAGGCCACCCCTTTAAACTACTGCTGCAGACGTGTACTGTGCTGTCCACGCATCTTGCATTTGGCTCCTTGGCTCACCTGGATCTTCTCCAGGCTGCTAAAAAAAACCGCTTTTAAGCCCCAGTGAGACCTACCTCTCTGCCTCCCTCTCCTTCAGCCAGAGAATTGTTTTGGCAAGTTGTGCTGTGTTTGACTTAGTAATGACGGCGCGAGAACAATGGGGGAACATTGCCTGTTCTTGCCCTGGTAATTATTTTGGGAATTTGGGGAAAGGAAAACAAAACAAAACAACCCACCCTGGATTAAATTTGAAGGTGTGAAGGTTGGGACTCTCTCTTTCTCACAAGGAGCAGCTGGGATTGAAAAGAAAGAAGTGGCGATTTTGGGGTGCCTGCGTAGAAGGTTGTGGGTCTGTGCATCCAGCAACTAGTTGGCTGGGCCATAGCATCCAGCCTTCGAGCCTGCTAATTTCTTCAGACGTTAACATAGCAACAGCACTTAGACTTATATGCCGCTTTATAGTGCTTTACAGCACTCTCTTTAAGCAGTTTATGAGAGTCAGCCTCTTGCCCCCAACAGTCTGGCTCCTCATTTTACCCACCTCGGAAGGACGGAAGGCTGAGTCAACGAGCTGGTTCAGAATCAAACTGCTTGCAGTGGACAGAGTTTGCCTGAAATACTGCATTCTAACCACTGCACATCAGGGGAGGGAGGGAGGGAAGGAGGGAAGGAGAAAAGGAAGAGGAATAGCAATAGCACTTATACTTATATACCGCTTCACAGTGGTTTACAGCCCTCTCTTAAGCGGTTTACAGAGTCAGCCTCTTGCCCCCAACAATCTGAGTCCTCATTTGACCCACCTCGGAAGGGATGGAAGGCTGAGTCAACCTGGAGCCTGGTGGGATTCGATCTGCTAAATTGTAGGCAGCTGGCAGTCAGCAGAAGTAGCTTGCAGTACTGCACTCTAACCACTGCGCCACAGAGGCTCCTGTGTTTCTATACCGTGTTTCTCCAAAAACGTGACCCACCCCAATAATAAGCCCAACCCTAATTTTTGGGGGTGGACCTAATATTACCCTACCCTGAAAATAAGCCGGGGGGGGGGGAATGAGCAGGGCCTGCATGAGTGGTGGCGTGGGCGTGGCAGGGGGCACTGTTGGCTGCAGCCTGCTGGCCCCCATGCGGCAGCACAAATGCCGCTTTTACCCTTCCCTTTCCGGGCCCAGCGCTTCTGCTTGTTGGGCTGCTTCCTGGCCAGTTTGCTTTTTCCCTCTTTTTTGACGAGAACGGGAGGAAAATGGGAAGGGTTTTTTTTTTCCCCTTCCTGCCATCCATTCCTCAAGCTCAGCACAGACTGAGGGAAGGAGTGGCAGGCAGGAAAATTCCCCCTCCTCCATTTTCCTCCCTGTTCTCGACAAAAAGGCCGCCATTTTGAATGCTGTGAAGGTTCGGAATGGAGGCCATGCCGCGTCCAGCTCACCGAGTCTGGCCTGCTGCACCTCCAAAAAGTAAGACCGCCTCAAACGTAAGCCCAAGTACTTACTTTCAAGTCTAAAAGGAAATAAGACTCAGAATTGTTTTCTGAGAAACAGAGTATTACCATGTTTCCCCCCAAATAAGACCCTGTCTTATGTATTTTTTTTGCCACCAAAAAAAGGCACCAGGTCTTATTTTCGGGGGATGTCCTCATTCACTAACTTCACTTCCATGCGTCGCTCCCGGCCTCCTTTTAGCTGTCAGAGGCCTTCAGGAACTTCTTCTGCGGCTGGCAAAGTTTTCCTGAAGGCCCCTGCAGCGTTCAGGATCGATCCAGAGCTTTGTTATCAGCTCCAGAGGCCTTACCAGCCTTACTGGCTGCAGAAGAAAAGGGCCAGTAAGGCAGGTGTCCAAAGGTAAGTAGTAGGGCAGCTCTGTCCCCTAATCCCCACCCCAGCTTAATTTTCACCCCTTCACTCTGGAGTGGGCAGGACCTTAAGTAGGGCTTATTTTGGGAGGTAGGGCTTATATTGAGCTCGTGCAAAAAAAAATCAAGCTAGGATTTACTTTCAGGGTAGGTCATATTTTGGGGGGAAACAGGATATTTTGTTTTGAAACTGGACCTGGTCTTGTTCCCTCAGGGGAAGGCAAGGAAGAGATCGAAAAAGTGACTTTTGAAGACCTGAGGCACCGCGTGGCTTTCTACGCTGCGGCCATGAGGAAATTGGGGGTGCATCCTGGAGACCGGGTTGTGGGTGAGTCCACCTTCTCCTCTCAACCAGGATGTGCAAAACGTCAGATCTTTGCCGGCTTTAAGAAGCTCTGCAGGAAACGCAACGGAGCATGATAGACAGGTTGGGTGACTTTTAAGCCCAAGCCTTGCCAAGACGGGAGAAGAAAAACAGATGGATCATTGAAATTATAAACGAAACGTGGGACACTTTGCTGAACCTTCTGGAAGGAGAGAGTGTGTGTGGGGGTGTGTGTGTTTGGGTCACACATTGATAACTTTTGAAAGGGTCTCGGGGATGTGTGTTTGGGCTTCAGGTGGAGCTGGGGGCTTTCCGGGTGTCCAGAACGGAAGAAGGAAGAGGAAGGAAATGAGAAGAAGAGGATCTTTGTAGATCAGAGCTGAATGGTCCTTGGTGGTCTCTGCGTTGGGGTGGTTTTCTTGCAGATGCTTCATTGACCACACTGGTGGACATCATCCGTGTTAGAAGGGGTGGGTTTTGGGAGGAGGAGGAGGATGAGGAGGAGGATTACTACGACTACTCTATGGTCCTTGGTGGTCTCTGAGCTGGGTGGTTTTCTCACAGACATTTCATGACCCAACTAGGTAACACCATCAGTGCTAGAAGGGAGTGGGGTTTGTGGAGAGAGGGGGAGAAGGAGTACTATGGGGTCCTTGGTGCTCTTTGACTTTGGTTGTTTTCTTGCAGGCGTTTCATGACCCAACTGGGTAACACCATCAGTGCTGGAAGGGAGGTGGGTTGTGGACTGGAGCGGGAGAAGAGGAGGATGTTTCATGACCAAACTAGGTAACCAACACGTTGACGATGTTATCCAGTTTGTAGCGAAACATCTGCAAGGAAACCACCAAACTCAGGAAGCAATGAAGACCCTACAGTCCTCCTCCTCCACCACTCCACAAATCCCACACCCTCGTAGCACTGATGATGTTACCTAGTTGGGTAGCGAAATGCCTTCTAGAAAACCAGCAAGGACCCCGCGGGGGGGGGGGGGAATGGCCTGCCCTATTGCTGTCCAGCGCACCTCCTTACCTCTTACACAAATCACAGGTCTCCGTTTGACCTCTTCTGCCCTCTAAGGTCAAGACGGGCAGCTGATATCTTGCGGTTAACCTGCGGTTGTGTCACTGAGTCCGTTGCTCCACTGTTCCTCGTGTTGCAATGCAGCCACTGACACCTCTTGCATCAGATGGTGTTGGGTTTTTCCCTTTGTGGAGGTCTTGAGTAACGGGGATGGCGAGTTCTTATCTTATCACTACTATATATATTCTCTATTTGCTTTTTCTCAAATACCTCCCTCGGGCTTTTTTTTAATTTCTTTTCAATATTTACATATCTTCATGGTCATTATACTTATCGTTTTATCTGTCCTGTTTACAATTTCATACCCTACACCATTTTTGATAGATGGCAGTCCAGTCTCTTCTTGAAAGCTTCCAGTGATGAAGCTCCTACAACTTCCAAAGGCAACTTCTGTTCCGTGGGTTGATTGTTCTATCAGAAAATTTCTCCTTATTTCCAGGTTGAATCTCTTTGATCAGTTTCCATCCATTGTTCCTTGTCTGGCCTTTGGGTGCCTTGGAAAATAGCTCAACCCCCTCCTCTCTGTGGCAGCCCCTCAAATATTCGAAGACTGCTATCCTGTCTCCCCTGGTCCTTCTCTTCCCTAGACTAGCCAGGCCCAGTTCCTGCAACCATTCATCGTATGAATGTTTTAACCTCTCTAGTCCCCTAATAATCTTGGTTGCTCTTCTCTGTCCTCTTTCTAGAGTTTTTTATAATGTGGTGGCCAAAGCTGAATGCGGTACTCTAGATGTGATCTTACTAAGGCTTTGTAGAGTGGGATTAGTACCTCCCTTGCTCTCGATTGTATCCCCCTGTTAATGCAATTTAGGATTAATTTTTTGGCTACCGCCACACACTGTTAGCTCTTATTTAACAGGTTCACACTTAACGACGGTTGCAGCAATCTGGGGTCGTATGATCTTCCATTTGTGAACTGCCCTGCCGGTTTCTGACAAACAAAATCAGTGGATTCACTCAATGACCATATTATTCGCTTAATGCAGAGGTCTCCAAACTTGGCAACTTTTAAGACTAGAGGACTTCCAACTCCCAGAATTCTCCAGCCAGCATAGCTGGCTGTCGAATTCTGGGAGTTGAAAGTCCACAAGTCTTAAAAGTTGCCAAGTTTGGGGACCCTTGGCTTAATGGAACCTGAATTCACTTAATGACCACCTGAGTGGCTTAACAATGGCAATGATTGGCTTGGCCTTGAGTTAAAAAGTCATAAAATCAGACGTGACTCCCTTAACCTTTTGCTGAGCGCTGGAAATGCTGGTCCCGATTGTGTTCGTAGGTTGAGGGTTATCTGTAAACCCTAGCGTGGTTTTCCTGGTCTTGGTTGAGCAGGATTGTCAAGCTCCTCTTGATGACTTACACAACTGAGCTTTGTGGCCCGAACCAGCCAGGCCTGATCTGAGAACTGTCTCTTTGGCTTACTAAATAGGTGAAGTTCAGGTTTCCCATCGGGTTTCAAAATGTGCCACCGAGCCCGAAAGACCAATTTGAGGGGGCTGGGTGACTGCAACCATTCCTGGTTCTCCTTCGAGGGCTCCAGCCTGCCCCTAACAATTTTCCAGGATTTTGGGGGACCTCCTGCGCACAGGTTCTTCCTTGTTGAGTTGGTGGGCTTTTTAAAGGAGAAGGGGAGGACGTGGGGCTTCTCCTTCCTCTTCCCAGGCTCAGTTTGGGATTGCACAAACCTCTTTGTCTTTGTTGCAATTTACCTGGGTTGTGTTACCTGTTGGGGGAGTCTGCAGGAAGGAGCGATGGTGCAATATACACCTTGCAGGCAGCACGGATAGTTTGGGTGGCTTTGGATGATCTGATCTGATCTGGCTTTTACTAAGCGTATAGAGATACACATAATAGTTAATTTCCTTTTTCCCTTTTGTTATTAGTATAGCGCTAGCTGCATATTATTTCTATATGCGTTTATATACAATTATATAAATATCTACAACCGTTTTTTTATACTCATGCATTCGTATCATCTCATATTTGTCCATTATATTGCATCCTCTTTGGTTTACAAAACTTTAACTTTCATTTCTATAAAGCATCAACCCTTCGTTTCTTTTTCCTTGACTCCAACCAATTTTACCCCAGACTTCACAATACTCTGTCTCTTATCTTTGATTTCTTTAGTTAGTCTGTCCATCTCTGGACAGACTAGTATTTTCCTTATTATTTCACTTTCTATAGGGGTATCTTCATTCTTCCAGTTTTGGGCATACGCCAATCTCGCAGCTGTTATTATATGTATCATTAAATATATTGTTCCTTTACAGTATTTCTCATTAATAATTCCCAGTAAGAAAGTTTCTGGTCTGAACTCTGCTTTCTGGTTAACCATCTCTTCTATCCAAACCTTTATTTTCCACCAGTATTTTTTTTGCTTTTATACATTATCTATCACATATGATAATAGGTGCCTATCTCCATGTAACATTTCCAACAGTGGTATACTTTTACTAATTTGGGCCAATGTAGTTGGAGGAAGATGCCATCTGTAAAACATTTTATATTGCTCTCTCTATACGAAGTTGGCTTTTATTTTCTTGATCACTTGGTGAATTAAGCTAAGATCCATCCTTCCTCTCCTTCCTCTTTCATTTCCGCAACCGTTCCAGGTTACCTGCCCAATGGTATCCACGCGGTGGAGGCTATGCTGGCTGCTGCCAGCATCGGGGCCATCTGGAGTGCGACGTCGCCGGATTTTGGCATCAACGTGAGTGACCTCCCCTCACTTAAGCACCTGGTTCCCAAATCACCCCCCCCCCACCGGTTACATTTGCAGCCTCGAAGGAAGGGTGAATTCCTTTTGGGCAAAGCAATGCTGGTAGTCCTTGACTTACGGATGTTGGAAGTTACAGAGATGCTGAAAAAAAGTAACTTGCCACCTCAATAACACGTGATCAAAATTTGGACACTTGGCAACTGGCAGATATTTACAATTAGTTGCAGGGTCTGTGTGTGTGTGTGTGTGTGTGTGTGATGTGATGGTTAGAGTAGCGGTGGTGGCGCAGTCCAACTCTGCCGGCTGCCAGCAGTTTGATTTTCATCAGGCTCAAGGTTGACTCAGCTTTCCATCCTTCTGAGATCAGTAAAATGAGGACCCAGATTGTTGGGGGCAAGAGACTGACTGTGTAAACTGGCCAGAGAAGGCTGTAAAGCACCGTGAAGCAGTATGTAAGTCTAAGGGCCATTGAAAGTGCTATTTTCCTTCCTTCCCTCCCCCCCCCTCTCCTCTCTTTCCTTCCCTCCCTCTCCTTCCTTCCTTTCTCTCCCCCTTCTTTCTTTCCTTCCCTTCCCTCCCTCCCTCCCTCCCTCTCTTTCTCTCCTTTCTCCCTCCCTCCCTCCTTCCCTTCTTTCCTTGGTGTGCAGTAGTTAGAATGCAGTATTGCAGACTAATTCTGCTCACTGCCAGGAGTTTGATCCTGACCAGCTCAAGGTTGACTCAGCCTTCCTTCCTTCCAAGGTCAGTAAAATGAGGACCCAGATTGTTGGGGGCAAATAGGATGACTCTGTAAACCGCTTAGAGAGGGGCTGGAAAGCACTGTGAAGCAGTATAGAAGTCTAAGGGCTATTGCAAGTGGTATTTCCATTCCTGCCTTCCTGCTTTCCTTCCAACCACCCAACCACCCACCCATCGTGCACAGTGGTTAGAATGCAGTATTGCAGGCTGACTCTGCTGGCTGCCAGCAGTTCAGTTCTCACCAGGCTCAAGGTTGACTCAGCCTTCCACCCTTCCGAGGTGGGTAAAATGAGGACCCAGATTGATGGAGACAATAGGCTGGCTCCGTAAACCGCTTAGAGGGGGTTGTAATGCACTATGAAGTGGTGAAGTCTGTTATTGCTATTGTCCTTCCTTCCTTCCTTCCTTCCTGCCTCCCTCCCTCCCTCCGTGCACGTTGGTTAGAATGCAGTATTGCAGGCTAACTCTGCCCACTGCCAACAGTTCGATTCTGACCGGCTCAAGATTGACTCAGCCTTCCATTCTTCTGAGGTGGGTAAAATGAGGACCCAGATTGTTGGGGACAAGAGGCTGACTCTGTAAACCGCTTAGAGAGGGCTGTAAAAGCACTGTGAAGCAGTATATGAGTCTAAGGGCTGTGGATATTTGCAACCTTCCTCGCTGTCTTCCGATAGGCAAAATCATTGGACGGTGAGATTTACTTAAGGACCATGGCAAAAGTTGCAAAATCAGTTGTGATTCACTTAATGTCTGCGTTGCTTAGCAGTGGAAATTCGCAAAATGAGGACAACCTGTTCGACTTCAGAGTTGACTTTTATGGCATCACCAGAAGAGGGTAGTTATGCGCCACTGTTTTTTAGCCAAAGATTCAGCTTTTAGGAGAGAGAGAAATGGACCTGATGGTTATAATCACATTTCGTGTGTGTGTGTGTGTGTGTGTGTGTGTGTGTGTTTAGGGCATTGGACCTGAAATTAAGATAAGAGCTGAATTTAATTTTATGTCAGAGCTCCAGCATCTATCCCCTTTTAAATCATGAGTCTCTGGCCGCATCTTTCAAAGTTTAAAGAAGATTTATTAGGAGTGAAACATGTCGGTGCTACCTGGGTGTAGCTGACTCTGAGACACATCATTCATTTCACCCTTGAACCTGGTCACCCCCCCCATGCATATTCTCCAATGGGACACATCCGTAGCCAAGAGTCATCAATCATCCTCTCCAGTAATAATCTTGCATGCCAGAAGCTTCAAAATTACCTAAAGCATTTAAGGAAGGCGCTGCTTTTCCCCATTCCCTTTCTGCTGACAACTCTAAAAGATCTGAGAAATATTTTTGAGTTGGCATTTTAAAAGTTCTTCCTATGCTGAATTGGTGAACACACAACTTTCACACTCCACACACGGAATTGAAAATGCCTGACCCCGCACCAACACTGCACTATACAGTAGAATTCAGAAGAGCTACTGCCCTGGGATAGAAGCTATTTTCCAGCCTATTTGTCCTTGTTTTTATTATTCTGTACCGTCTGCCAGATGGTAATAGTTCAAAAAAAAAAGGGTGCCCAGGATGAGATGGATCTTTGAGGATGGTGTTTTGAACTTTCTTGAGGCAGCGGGGGCTATAAAGCTCTTCCAGAGAGGGGAGAGGGTAACCAATGATATTATGGGCAATCACATTCACTCTTAAGTGTGAAAAACGGACATAAAGTCACTTTTTCCGGGGCTGTTGCAGCTTCAAATGGTTGCAAGTCGAGGACTATAAATAAAAGCCAACCCTGTTTGTCCAAGTTTGTCGAATTTTCTGCTAATGCCTGCTTCCCCCTTACCATCTCCCTACCCCACAGGGCGTCCTGGATCGGTTCTCCCAAATTCAACCCAAGCTAATCTTCTCCGTCGAAGCCGTCATCTACAACGGGAAACGCCACAACCACCTGGAAAAGCTTCAGAGTGTCGTCAAAGGTAAATTGGCTGCCCCCTTTTCTCTCTCTCTCTCTCTCTCTCTCTCTCTCTCCCAGGCTTGGAAAGGATTTCTCTCCCTTGTGTGTCTGAATGCAACATTAAAAAAATGCAACAGAAGGAGACCTGGTGGCGCAGGGAGTTAAGAGTGCAGGACTGCAGCTAATTCTGCCAAGCCAGGTTGTTGGGGGCAGGAGGATGACTTGTAAACAGCTTAGAGAGGGCTGCAAAGCTCAGTGAAGCGGTGTATAAGTTTAAGTGCTATTGCTAGCCTTCCTTCCTTCTTTTTTTCCTTCCTTCCTTTCTTTTTCCTTCCTTCCTTCCTTCCTATCTCCATCCATCCATAGTGTGCAGTGGTTAGAATATGCAGCATTGCAGGCTAACTCTGTCGACTGTCAGCAGTTCAATCCTGACTGGCTCTGCTTTCCATCTTTCCGAGGCCTCAGATTGTTGGGAACAACAGGCTGATTCTGTGAACCACTTAAAGGGGGCTGTAAATATCTACGGGTTATTGCTAGTGTTATTGCCTTCCTTCCTTCCTTCCTTCCTTCCTTCCTTCCTTCCTTCCTTCCTTCCTTCCTTCCTTCCTTCCTTC